AAGAAGAAGAAGAAGAAGAAGAAGAAGAAGAAGAAGAAGAAGAAGAACCGGGCGGACAGCTGGTGTAACAAAGCACTGCCTGGACAGTTCCTTGAAAAGATCCAAGGAAAAGTAGACAAGGAAAAGACCTGGTTATGGCTGACCAATGGAACACTGAAGAAAAAGACAGAAGGCCTGATTCTTGCAGCCAAGAACAAGCCATCAGAAACGAATGCAATTAAATCCAGAATAGAAAAATCTGCTGATAACCCCAAATGCAGACTCTGCAAATAAGTGGACGAAACCATCGATTGCATACTGAGCTGTTGCAAGACAATCGTTCAGACTGACTACAAACAACGTCACAACACAGTCGCTCAGATGGTCCACTGGAATTTGTGTCACAACTACCATCTGCCTGTAGCAAAGACCTGGTGTGATCATAAGCCTGAAAAAGTGGTCAAAAATGAGCATGCAAAACTACTGTGGGACCAGTATTGTCTACAACAGGGCAGAAGTAGAGAACCTGTCTATCTGGTGTTCACAGAACAATCTGTTACTGAATGTCCATAAAACCAAAGAACTGATTATGGACTTCAGGAAACATGGACAGGACCACGCCCCACTCATCATCAATGGAGAACGAGTGGAAACTGTCCCTACAATCAGATTCCTTGGCACCCATATTTCAGCTGATATCTCCTGGTTCCCTAACACCAAGGCCATAGTGAAGAAGGCTCAGCAGCGGCTGCACTTCCTTGTGGGTTCTCAGGAAGAACAACCTGGATAAGAAGCTGTTGCCGGCTTTCTATAAAGCCTCTGTGGAGAGCACTCTGACATATTGTCTGAGTGTGTGGTATGCAGGCTCCACAGCTGAGGACAGGAAAACTGTACAGAGGGTGATAAACACAGCTCAAAAAATCATTGGTTGCCCTCTGCCCTCCCTGGAAGACTTAGCCAGGTCCCGCTGCCAAAGCAGAATCAAAGCCATTATAGAAGACCCCTCACACCCTGGTAATTATCTTTTTGACCTGCTGCCGTCTGGACAGCATTTTAGGTCAATAAAATCCCACACCACTAGACTGACAAATAGTTTCTTTCCCTGGGCCATCCGAACCGCAAATAAACACAAAGTCACTGCCTTATTAAGATGTGAAAAGATGTGAAATCTCAATACCCCATTCAGATGTATAATAACATATTACAGTACAATCCATCTCTTGTGTATTTTACTCGGCTAAGCATTACAGTCAGTGTTGGATGTATATTTTGTGTATATTCGTAGATATTGTACTCTCAAATTGCAAATGGAGATGTGGCTACTCTATTTTTCTTATCTTCATTTTTAAGTGCTTTGGTTTTATTGTATTGCGAACAGTTGCTGGGGTGCATCCACAGTTTCGTTGTACTTGTACAATGACAATAAAGGCCTTCTTCTTCTCAGATATCACGATTGTGGAGAAGAAAAAAGTGTGGAACTTTGACATTGCCATACCTGGTGACAGCAGAATTGACGAGAAACAACTTGAAAAAAGCGCCAGATTATCAGGACTTGAAAATCAAACTGCAGAGACTCTGGCATAAACCAGTGCAGGTGGTTCCAGTGGTATTCGGCACACTGAGTGCTGTGCCTAAAGACCTAGGCAAGCACTTAAAAACAATTGGCGCTCACAAGATCACCATTGGTCAGCTGCAGAAGGCCACCTTACTGGGATCTGCTCGCATAATCCGCCGATACATCACACAGTCCTAAACTGCTTGGGAAGTGGTCGACTAGTGATTTGTGATACGAAACCCAGCATAGTTACCTTGTTTGCTGTGTACACTATAGTTTTTTGTATATAATAATGGTAATTGGAGAATTGTTGGGTTCAGAGCAACTTTCTTCCCCGTGGCTGGAATTGTAAATTGTATTTCCATGACCAGGTAGAATTTTTTTCTTTCAATTCTGCTGTAATAAACAAACTTTCTCTTTTGGCTGCAGATTACTGCAAAGGTTCTCCTTCCTTCCCATCCATCTTCCTTCCGTTGTTTGTTTTCTCTGATACAACTTAGCCAAATAATCTCCCAGCGAATGCAAACATCCCATTAAGTTTAACTCTGCTAGACTCTGAACAAGTTTTGCCAGGAACGGCTGGGTGTGAGTGGATTTCAGTTTTTAACAGGGCGTAAAAAAATCATTACCAATAATTATCCCCATTCTAACGGAAAAGGCTCTTTGGACTTTATGCTCGGCTAAACAATTAATTCCCACAACACGGTCTTATGCCCTAGGATGTCAAATCATGTAGTAGGGCTGTATTATTATTATGCTTCTCGTATTTCTCATTACCTATTCCTTTAGCATTATACGGGAATAAAACTGTGTTGTTTGCATTTTAGGATTTATGTTGATTGCTTTTAGTTAGTGTCCTATGACTATTACTGAGTATTGTGTTTATGATTTATGTGGATTGTGTTTTATGATTGAGGTCATGATTTATCATTTATTGCTTGCATGCACACTGAGAGTTTATGTGCAGGAGACAAATCCCTTGTGTGTCCAATCACACTTGGCCAATAAAGTTTTCTATTCTATTCCATCCAATATTTATTCTGTTCTGTTCTATTCTTATTCTATTCTATTCTATTCCATTCCATTCTATTCCATTCCTTTTTTAAAATATTTTTTATTTTATTTATACAAACATTCCATCTTTCATTTGAACAGTTTGTTGTCTGGGTATAAATATCTTCTGCAATAACCATTATAGTTTATACATATTCATTGCTTAGCTTTAATACTCTGTTCTTACTTAATACTAATCTGCATCATCTATCTAATTCTTGTAACACTGCATTCCATTCCATTTCAATTCCTATTCTATTCTATCCTATCCCACCCAATTTTCTATTCTCTATTCTATTCCATTCCATTTCAGTTTAGTTCCTATTCTATTCTATTTATTCTATTCTATTTTATTCTATTCTATTCCATCCCATCCCTTCCCATCCTCTCTTCGCTT